AAAGCCATGCAGCAAAATCAGAAAATGAACTGCTTGCACTGCACTGGAAGTTAAAATCATATCTAGGTAGACTTTAAAAAAATTGAAAAAATTCACAGGAATATTATGCTGTGTATTTATGCCATTGACAGAAAGAATAATTTTTGTGGCACTGTTTGGTGAATTAGGTAGCATCAGCACAGTGCAGCAAAACATGAAGAAAGCAGATGCAAGAAAACAGCATTGGAAGARACATTAACAAAATTTTCCCATCCAAACCAAATGCATATTTGCAAACATGGATTTTTGCTAAAGGATCATTAGCTGAAATCTCAAGTGAAGAAGGAACAAAAATAACAGACAAGACTCAAAACTATTATTAATTCTTKCAGATTTTAGTATCTGAAACTTTAGCTGTTGCTTTACTGGAAGCATTACCTAGTTCCTCTCCCATTCTCTGCTAGCAAAATTACTCCATCATATTCCTTAAGGGAGTTATGTCACTCCTTTTCCCAGTCAGGAATTGATCCAGGTGAGAAGTTACAAACTCTCATATCACTCTTGARTTATGATAAGGTGACCTTGGTCTGTTTTTTATGTCTAACTCCAAAGGAGAAGGACATGTTTTAATGTCTTCACTGTGGATTTAGGTGGAAAAAGTCTCCTGTCTCTCTCCYCACCCCCCTATCTGTAAGAAGCCTCTACTTTTACTCTTGATGCTGTTTCAATGGTTAAGGGCAAGGGGAAGAATAGAGTCTCTTTCCTTGTTTTGTGTGCACACTTTCCACACAAAGACCATTACCAAGTTCCGTGCAAACGGATGAACTTGTAGATCCTTAGTGTTTATTTGACCAGATTTGTTAAATATTCACACATATTATTTCTTAAGAATGCCCCACCTGAGATCTGCAAGCATCGATGCACTTTTATGTTAACACACACCCATGTTATGGAGAGAAGCTCTATAGTCTCCATTTTATACCAGAGAAGCAGGACACAAAATAATCAAGTCACTTGCTCATAGCAAATTGAAGGTTAATTTCAGGACAGTTTTAGGGCTTTCCCTCCCACTTACGTTCCACAAAAAAAATAAAAAATCTGRGACAGATCACGATATTTTTTGTGCATCAGTCATGCACAAATATAAAACCAGGACCATCACTGTTAATCACTGTTTTTAGGCAGTGACTTTCCTGTGTACACCACTACCAGGTGTCTGCTGGCACAGCTACCTGGGCACCACATGTGTTTGTAGTCATRGCTGGCAAATACTGCACTGTGAAAGAGCACAGCTTACGTAACGCTTGAGCCAAGCCACAGATTCAGCCCAAATTCCCAGAAAGCTCAAGTGAAGCACTTCAGAATTGTTCCCAGCTTCCATGTGAATTACCCTCTAAGGGTAAGCTTTGCTACCACAAGTGCCTGCACATGGAAGCGCATCTGACTCCATATCAGCAAAGGCATGTGTCATCCTTACACAAATAAATAAATACATACACAACATTGGAAATAAATATCCACATGTTGTCTCCTAGGCACCAGAATCCCAGCCACAAACCCACCCCAGGCCATCTTCAGCTCCTAGAGCAGTCACCCTTACCTCACAAGCACTCCAGGTTGAGCCCATCCTGCTCCCAGCTGCATACAAGTAAGAGATGGATTATCACTTCACTGTTAGAGGCAACAGCTGTGATTCACAAACTACCTCTGCAAAATTTAAGGAGGCACCTGCTAAGGAGCAAGTGGTTTATCCAAGCCCCACCTTCCTCATTGCATGAAAGGGAAAGTATGAAGAGAGAAGGTGAGGGAGTTTGCTGAGTTTATTTCATAAATACCAGAGGAGTGTGTTTGGGGGAGGCTGTACACACCAACATGCCAAGAGTTATCAGCAGTTCAAGATAAGGGAGTGATAAGGCACAGCACTAATGCATGGATATGTGTTCTAGTAGCCTGAACAATGAACAAATCAGAGAACATAGTATTAGATAAATGTAGACACACAGCACCCCAATCAGCAAAGAAAAGTATTGTGACAAAATAACTTTAGAAGGCCYATTCTTCAACAAAATTCTATTTATTTTCCTGTTCTTGGAGACAGAGGGGCTGGAATTGCTTACT